CTGCTGTCTGTTCCTACAAGACTGTCTCCTTCTTCCTTTTGTCCAACATCGTCCTCTTTTCTTAATGGGTGAATGTGTTCGGCTGCTGTCAGCTCACATGGCTCCCAGAGGCCGCGTCGGGGTACCCTGTTCGTTCAGCAAACACACCAATGTCCTCCAGAGTGGGGGGTCCTACTGCAAAGGAGCTACTAGGAGCCCCCCAATACTCAGCAGCCCAATAACGGAGCAGAATTTGGCTCTGAGGGCGTCAAGCAAACACGCCGCAAATGGCACTTTTATTTACTTGCCTTCACGTCCCCTCCCCCAACATCCTTCATTTACTGGGATCCGCGGTGCCATTTCCAGGAGCCCCATGGCAACAGCAGGCCTTTTGAACAGGGGGACAACTTTCTCATGATGTCACCATGCCATGGTGATTGGGGGTCTGCTGCAAAGAGATGAAGATGTCCAAATGGAACTGATATTTGGATTTTGGTATTGAAGCTTGAACTTGACCTGTGAATTAAGTTTTTAACAATTCTGTTTGCGAGCTTGCGTGCCAGAATACTTGTCAAAGTGCTTGTCGGGCGGTGAAATAGCTGCGGAAACCCGCTCCCCCTGAGACCTTTTTCGCCATTGTATTTGGGGGGTTGGGGACTGTGTGTTCGACAATTCCTGTAACTTTCTGAAACTGAAAACCACTCGGAGCAACTAAACACTTTTACCTTCCAGTGTGGTCGGACAACATGTTGTACTACGAACTTTATTCTCTAGCATAACCCAACCTTAAGTGGTATGATGCATGAAACTTTTCACTCCTCACAATAACAAAAGCTAGTCCTGTCACTACAGCTCTCTTGACTTCATCTTGGCTTTGAATGAGCGTGTTGTTGCTTGCTCTACACAACGTGTCACTCATCAACGCTTGCTTCGTGTCTGATTGTGATAATGCAATCTGCCTGGGCTCCTTTGCTCTCAGGCTTGTCAGACGCAGCGGATCTGCTGTTTGCACAGTCCAATGAGCATCAGTAGCTTTGCCTTGTTGGTGGACTCCTCCCTGGCAACCAGGCTAACCCCCTCTGACCTCTGACCTTTGTTGTTCCCGTTGGATGTGAAGAGGGGAAAAAAAATGGTTCCTGTCTAAATTCAACCATTAGAATCTGGAGGAGACGGAGGCGTGCCCTCTAGCCTCTAAAGGAAACGCACAACTCGGGGTATTGTGGGGTGACAAAGATCATCAGCCAATGGCGAGACAAGTGCAGAGCGTGATGGATTGTGTAATTGAACATGTGACGTTTGATGGATGTCTAAATGAGAAGCATAATAGGTTGTGTGATGGATAAGTAGGAAGCGAACACTTAGATTTTCACACAGGAGCGGATGTGGGCTGTTTGGTTTTGGGACAGAGAATGATGGATCGATTTTTGAGGGAGGACGACTCAGCAAAAGAGGGAACGGATCCGTCATACTGCTGTTTAGTTTTTAGATCACTTGTGTTTTGTCACCTGGGTGGTTTAGTTATAACCTCCCCTTATGTGAAAAATGGACACAGTCACACAGCACAGCATACGCACCAAAGACACATCTATTCAGACTACAACTGAATTTTTTTTTGCCTGTTACAAATAAGAACTCTATTTTGAATGTTGAATTTTGTAATTGGAAATGTAGGCCAACATGTACAGTATAATGAGGGATGGTGTGAATTCCTATTTTAAAATCATAAAATGAACATAATTATGTTTTTGTGGGTGATCTTCGGCAAAAAAATAAAAGCTGTTAAAGAACCAGTGTGTACGATCTAGTGGCATCTAGCTGTGAAGTTGATGATTCAACTAATTGAAAACCACTCGCATCTGTATTTGACAACCTGGGAATGAAAAAAAGCTATGAAGTGTGTAAGAGAAATAATGGTGCAAGTGAAACTCTAAAAAATGCATAAGGTGTAGGTGTTTGGTTTGTCCGTTCTAGGATATTGTAGAAACATGGTGGTTCCCGTGTGTTGTCTGTAAATAAAAACAACTCATTCTAAGGTAACAAAAACACAATTTCTATATTATGGTAATTATACATTAATGAAAACAGACCGATGAATATTATATTCCATTTCTGCCTATAGATCCTCCTTAATGTTACACACTGGACCTTTAAATCATTTGAATGGGCTTCTTCAACATTGTGAGCACATGTTAAATGGCAATCCAACCCCACAACAACGCTGCCTAACTCCGGATAGCATCAGAGGAATTTAGGGCCTGTCACACACCAGCTCATACATAGCACAGCTCAGCACACACCCAAGTGTCAAATATGGATTAAACACAATTTTCATTCTTGCAAATGCTTCGTTGGATTAAAAAAAACACGGTAATTTCCCTCTGTACGATCCTCAAAATGAAATAATCTGTTTAATTATAGATTCTGGATTACATGTCTGAGAAGAGCGCTGGGATTTCATTAAAATCATTACTGGTTGTAAACCAGTGTGCTGAGTTCTCGATATGGCAACAGTTATCAAGTGGACAAGTGTTGGCAACAGCTGAACAGTCAGCTGGGAAAAGAATGGCTGAGTCCAGGGAAAGTAGAGCTGTAGGGGGTCACACACATACACACACACACACACGGTTGCATGCATGTAGCTGTTTCACATAGTAGCTTGGCACAGGTGACCCTTTATCAGAGTTCAAACCCCTGTTATGTTGCTAGGGTTAGCTGCACTCCAAGAGGTTAAAGGTCAACCTGATTAATTAACACTGAGGATGTAAATAACTGAAGTCTGTTGAGCTTGTGAGAATGAACATTTGGCAAAGACAAAACAGAAAGAAAATAAAAAGATAAATGAGACCACAAACATGCGAAATTAATTACATATACAGAATATTTATTTCATCCTCTCGCAGCCTGTTTCAATTCTTTGCTCCGCTTGCACTGTTTTGAGTCTGAAGTAGCTTCTAGAGAAAGCTGTTGGGGGGGCTGTGTGCTCACATTGCACCGCAGTCACGTCAAGAGTTTACCCAGTTGCAGAATCATGCGACAAAGCGCTCGCTGGTATGACATAATGTGTACGTTTTCTGGAGGATTATCACCACTCTATTGTGGAATGCATAACATGTCTGAGAGGAGAAATCAGAGAGAGAAGCAATGAGCTAGAGAGTGTGCTGACAGTGGAATTTTGTTTTGCTCGGCTATCTGCTTAAAGAATTCTTAATATTTCACATTTCCAGTCCTGCTGCTATGTTTCTGGCAAAGGTTAATAAAAAAAAACCTGCTCTATTACTTGGATCTTGCACATTATTCTATTAGATTTGTGCATAACAAATTGGATCAATGTTCTTGAACTATGTAGCTAATCTTTATGTAGCTGACAAAGCGTGTTGTTATTCAAACTGACAAAACAAATCGAAGTCAGTTAACTTGTCATGAGGAATACTACTTAGCCTGCGGAGACAACTGGAGGAGCTTTGACATAGCTGAAGAAAAAAAACCCTGATGATGTCACAAGAGTTGTCTAGGTTTAGACCTGCCGGTTGAAGATTTTTAACACAAAGCCTGTGCTATAAACCGGGGCCGGGAAGTTTGAAAAACATGGGCACTTAGCAGGAGAGGAGGGTCTAATGAAAGACGCTATCAAGTTGCATTCTGGAAACTGTAAGAGCCATTGTTTTTGGGAGCTTGATGCACATTAGAGACTGAAAGTCAGGATCTCTCCTGCTTTGATCTTGGCCTTTATTTATTTCATAAAGTTGTTTCTAGCAGGTTGCACAACTTTGTGGAAGTGCAATACTAAATCATGGGTGTACTAACTTTATCCAAGATCTAAATAAGTACACAGAAACTTTAAAAAAAAAAAATTATATAAATTGAATTTCACAAATATATGCACCTTGGGCTCAACTGTTAAGCAAGTTTCCCTTCAGTATTAAGGAAATAGATGCAAGTTATTTTCACTTTTGTAATATTTCCTAAAACACTGCATCAAGGAATCTTTTAGTTTGACTAGTATGAAAAAGAACATCAAAGACAATTGTACTTATTTCCCTTCATTCTTCATCCATCTGAGTTATAACTAACAAAAAAAATGTACACTTGCAAATTCAGTGTCCTAGTGTCCTTATTCTAACTCAAGCCTAAATAAATGGATTTTAGATGGATTTAAAGACAAGGTTCGCAGATCTGTCTTAACAAGAGAGATGCTGCCCCCCGCAGGCCAAAAGTGCATCTCTACCACTGTGGTATACGGTGCATCCTCAGACAATGACAAAGTTGAGGCCAGAGCACATTCCTCTACTTATCACAATTATGCCTGCACCGATGGGGAGAGGGTTATGTACAGTATTAGCCCACAAACCAAAAGCCATAATAACAGTGCAACGAGAGCACAGAAAGTAGTCTTTATGTTTAAAGTCTCTCTCCAATCCCAGGGAGACCACTCATATTTCCAGCTGTGGTGAAATGTAGATTTATGCTGTAGTCATAACAAAGCCTGAACAAGACTGACACTGCATAATAAAAGGGCTGGAGCTGTGATCATTTGTACTGCAGACATGCTGTCCGCACGTTGATGGATGACTTGAATCTGTCTAATACAACAGTGGAAGTATCCAATACAATATGGCGTCAATTGTAGTGTGTGAAGCCGTGCCTACCTGCAGATATGTGTAAATACACAAAAGAGAAGACTGACAACTACAAGTGGCTGTCCCAAAGACAACAGTGACGCCAGGAGGGAAGGAAACCAAACTCTGCTTTCTGCTGAGAGTGATCTGGCCGAGTGTGTACTTAAAAACTCATCAGTGTATCCACAAGGGTTAGATTTTCAGTGAGTGTTGGAAGATATTTCATACCAAATTTAGAAAGAAAACACAGTCCAACAGATCAAGTTCAGTTCATGACGCCTGGGAAGAAATCCAGTAATAAAATAACAGTTGTTTTGCCTGTGAGGGGTCTATGAGGTTGTTTATAATGGGCCTGTGAACACGGACAACTCTAACTCTTTTTACTGATCACAGAAAGCAGGAAAGTTGTGCCATACTTTTGAGATTTACTTTCAGAAATGACTTAAGAAAACAAATACTTCCATGTTTTGTCATTCTTGTCATTTTGTTAACTATGGACTGAAACGATTGTAATACACATACTGAACAGGTCTTCATCGGTGGAAGATGATGTAGAATATGATCAGGGTGGTACATTTACTGGTCAGGGTGGTACATTTACAGATCAGGGTGGTACATTTACAGATCAGCAATTGGTTTGTGTGGCCAGTAGGGATATTTCTCTTTGTCCAGCTTTGTTTCTGGGAAAGTTTCGTTCAGGTCTTCAATGGTCATCTGATCGAAGGGAATCATGTTCGTGAATTTGTCAAGCTGGGGAAGGAAGAGCAGAGGATCAGTACAAATTAGGGTTTTGATTAAGTGTTTCTAGTAGAATCAGGTAAATTAAGACAGTGAACCAGATTTTTCTGCAGGAGTCTATCACACTCATCTGATGCACACAAAAACTACAGACAGCGGCTGGCTAAAGGTATGGTCACAATGCATTTCTGAAAATTGCCCTGGCCCTCATCAGTGTGATGTGATGTCACGGCTCTGAAGCAGGCAATAATAAATATGAAACAGTAAACGCACACACAATTTTGAATTAAAATCTCTCCGTCGTACCTGCTTCAATAGAAATGAATGGGAGACAGAGTCAATATTTGAAGGAAGGAAGCGTAACGTGACCTTTACTCTCTAGGATCCAGCTTATAGATTTGTGTGCAAGACAATTTTCGGCAGCTGTATTAAAAAAAAATAGACACAGGGGTTGATGATGAATTCCTACCTCTTTTTGATATTCGGCAACACGAACTTTGGATGCTTCAATGTAGGCAGTAGCGCTTTTGTTCTGGAAGACAAAGAGACAAAACAGACAATTAATTTGCAATAAGTTTTTAAATAAAAGTTTGTGTGCACAACACATATCCATTGCCACAACTTTGTACAGATAATGACTTAAAGACAATCTATAAAAATAAGTTATAGCGATCTGGTTCCATCGCTGTGATTGCTGGTGTTTGTGAACAACCACATTTGTTTCCGAAGTGTTTAAAATTGCTCTGACTGCACTTAATCCACAAACACAGTGTGGTACTTTTATATATTTTGAGGAAAAGGGTCAAGTATCAAAATGAATGCTGCTTTTCAAAAGGTTTTCATCCATTACATGCTTGTGTTAATGGGCCATGCACAAGCATAAAATAAGGAAATTACAATCACTGTTCAAATCAAAGCATCTAGACACAGTTAACACTCACCGCTTCTACCTCCTGAGCGTTGATGAGAGCTGTCTGGGTGTCTACAGGCTCAGGAACCGTCAATGCGTTGAACTGAGAGGACACAGAAAGTTAATACTATATACGATAAAATAACATAACCATCTTTAATCACACATCTATTCAAACACTTAAAATCAGTATTACATAATCAGATTTGCTGGTAAGAGATAGTGCACTTCATGATCTTCTCTTACCTTCTTTTCAAACTCATCCACCATGCCTGCTTTAGCCACTGCAGACCTGTAGTAGCTCCAGTCAATGGCGGGGGGTTTCTCTGGCAGAGAGGTGAGCCTGTGAATACAGATCATCTGGTTACAAACCTGCTACAAAAGTGCTACCCACTGCCACCTTAAAGCAAGATGCATTAGCAACATATTGTGGATATAATCCCTGCTACATTTGCAGACGAATATGCACTCAATGCTGCATCACTGTTACACCTTTATTTCATTGTTTGAGCATGACATATGATGGCATTGGCATGTACTTTGCGGAAATAGCGTCACTCCGTGTCTTCAGGCTGTTAAACATGGTCCTCTGGTTGGGTGGCACCCTCTCTGCAAAGGCCAGCCAGTCGATGGACTTCAGTGCAGCTCGTTTGCCAGCCATGTTTCAGGGTGTGTTAACTGCACAGGACAGAAAACAACCCGAGATTAACCTTTTACTCATAAACAAGGTTTTAAATGACCATGTGTTTGTTGATATTGCCCTAAATAAATCTGTTTGCCCCATTTGGTTGCACAGATATTTAGATGCATGGCCCTGAGTCTAACCCTCTTTCAATTCAGAGCAAACCAATTGTTAGAAACGCTTAGAAATCAACGTTATAGTATAACTTTGTGTCCTTCCTCGGTCTGACTGATGGGAGAATTAACTTAAAGCCAGTTAGCAAACACAGCTAACGTTAGCACGGTCAGTACAACACCGCCGACAGACCGAGAGTATTAACGCTAAACAGTCGATTTAACATTATTGTCATGGTGTTACATGTTGTAAACTAATCTGCTACATTTCTCCTAGATTATATCTTAAAGTATCTTGAATATTTGAGCAATACGTCATACCGTCAGTGGGACACAACTCCTCCGAACTGTTAACAGCCGACCGGAAGCGGAAATAAATTAACTAACGTTAATTAGTTAAGTTAACGTTAGCTGTTAGCGTTAACTGACCAGTAAGTTAAGTTAAGCACACTTGCGTTGCATAATTATTGATAATAAATCCTCGTTTACAGATTTACAGTTACGTTTTTATCCTTTGGTGGTTGACAGCATTAGAAACAGTCTCACTTCATTGTTTTATTTTGAAAGGTTTTACAGGAACTGTTAACCGATAGACTGCACAATACAAAATGGACGCTAGGTGGAGCCAACGGTTAGCTAACTGATAGTTACGTTATTTAAAACGTTCACTGAAAGATACTTTTAAGGATATAAAATACTAATAGAGACATCATAATTATATTTTGTATGTAAATACAGTGCAATTTGGATTGGTTGTGTACAGTAAAAGTAGCAGACAATGTATTCTTCTTTCGTTTCTGATCGCTTTAGTTTGGTTGCTTTATTGTTAAAATATAATAAACATTATTTTTTAGTAACACATATCGTAAAGATACAGTAATATTACTTCCGGTAGTGACCTTCAAAATAAAACAACCAACCGCCCAATAATGTAGCATTAACTTAACGTTAAATAAAGTTGGCCAAAACATTCACAAAGGTAATTTTTATACCTGTATATACTGGTTTAACTGGTATGCAATACATGATGCAGAATCTTATATTGTTTGATAAAAAAAAAAAAAAAAAGCAAAGTATCAATGCAGATAACAGTAAGATTAGTACTAAATGTTGAATACCTAAAGATGACAGTTTCTGTAGTACCTATCAATATTCATATCTACTGTTCACACTGAGGATTGTAAAGTTACTGTCTCAGCTGACTTGAAATGTTTGTCACTATTATAGTTTTTTTCGTTGTTGTTGAAAATCTCATCCGGTATGAGATTCCCTGTCAGTGTCTAGCTTGATACAGCTACAGTGAGAGGTTCAGGTGCTGTTGGATGTCAAAGACAGCTGTTGACCCCGCTGAGATGCGCTTTAACACAAAGAGTGAAAGAAAAGGACGTCGAGGAACGGAAAGCCAGAAGGTAAGATAACTTAACAAATAGATTTGAAAAAAGTTATATAGAAATATAAATAGGCTATTAAATTTATTTTTAACATTGACTAAGATGACTGCCCGGTTTTTTTATGATGTAACGTTAAGGGATAGTTTGATCAATTAGCCTAGTTTTTTTTTTAATTAGTTCATTTATATTCCAGACTGAATGACTTTAAATAAATAAATGACAACAACAACAACAACTATAAAAAATAATAATACTTTTGTGTATAACTTTTCTTAACAACGTTATTTAATGGAAAAGAAAAAGCAAGCAATAAAAGCAAAGGCAAATGCGAATAAAAACAAGATAATCAAACAAAAAAATTAAATTAAAAAAATGATTAAAAAAGTTAAAAGGGAGAATATGAAATTGCAAGGATGAAAAGGTAAAAACACAAGAAACTTATCACCTAACTATGCATTCAAGCTTTATTATAAAACAGTGTTTCCAGGCATGAGAGGCTGTTGTATTTACAGTAATTTTCTCAGGACTTTAAAGGGAGTGTGGGGGGGGGGGGAGTTACACAGTCACCATGGAGATAAATGTGCTTGGATGAAATTGTCCTCATATAATAGGTTTACAACCAAAGTGTGGGCTAGGATGACATGATGGTCATCAGTTGTTATTATACTTTTAATTAAAACCTGATAGCAGGCTGTTGTGCCACTCTGAATGTATTCCAGTTCACCCAGTCAGATGGAATTATGTTTGTACAGACGAACTGTAATGATCTGAACTAGATAAACAATAATAATTGCATTGAGACTGCAACCTGAAACAAGAACCCTACATCTTTTAGTGCTGGAGAAGAGTATCTTATAGAATTAACAAATTAGATCACAATCCTAATGCTGCCGTTCATTTGTTATAGATGGCTCTTTCTCATTGCATCCCTCTCCTGTCCCTCTTTCCAGGGAGGACACAGAGGACACATGTCCAATATTGTTTCTGGGATTTAACAATCCAAGTTTGACTTATGCAATTACAAACAAAATCTGACTTTTTAAAGGCTGCATATGATACATTTAGACTCAATAGCTTTACATTTGATTAGTTTTAGGTACAACAAATATGTGAAATGAGCCCTGTCTCTGTCTTATGTCCAACATAGGAAGAAGTTCTAAGAGTGGGCAGAATGACTCAGGTGGTGGAGGATCAGACACCAGCCACAAAAACCAGCCACTGCCAAAGAGATAATGCTTTACTCTGGAGGGAAAGCCATAATGCTGCTCAGTGTATTAAAGAAGTGGAGAAGTGGCCTCCAGAGTCCGAAACACAACACAGTGATTCAGAGGAGGAAAACCAAGAGGAAGAGGAGTCCACCTCCTGTCCCACTGATGCTATGCAGGTGGGTGACCCGGCTGAACGCAACCATCTGGCTGCACCCGACGGAGGCTGGGGCTGGGTGGTGCTCGTAGCCACCATGTTGGTTCTGTCTCTAACACTGGCGTTCCCCTCATGCATCGGTATCTTCTACACAGACCTGCAAACAGAGTTCAACGCAACCAACACAGAGACCTCCTGGGTGCCAGCCATCATGACCGCCACGCTGCATGCTGGAGGTACAGGGACCACATCAGTAGATCCCACAGTAACTGTGTGTGTGTGTGCATGTGTCACCTTTATCTTTCCCTTCCATTGAAATGTAACACACACACAGGCAGATGTTTTTATTGAGAAGGGCAACAGTGAGTCAGACTACGGTCGCGATGAGTTCAGGGTCAGCTAGGAGCCTATTGTTCTTGTGCAGGAGAGTTTATTTGTCTTCTGTCTGCCTGCCTGTGTGCCAAGCTGATATTTTCACTTGGATGTTGGCATAAAGCATGTGGAGTGTCAAAAATCTGACGAGTTTATCCTCTTTGGAGCATGAATGTATTTAGGGTTAGGTATTTTCACCCGCGCTTCATTGAGAGGTTTTGCCTTCCATGGCTCCTTCCTGTAGAACATAAAAGATGTTAGATTTGTGTATTAATGCTTCCTCAGCATGTACTTCATATCATAGCATGAAAGGGTACATTATAACACCTTTTGTTGTTTTATATTGATTGAGCTATTACTGTATGCTTTTGTACACACTAAATACAAACAGTTAACAGAAGGAGATTTTTTTTTATCATCTATATCATAGAGGGAAAGGAGTCATGAAAGCCTGACGAATGGAGATGGGACATCAAAGAGCTGAAAAGCCCACTAATCTGATTTAGATGTCGACTTCATTTGATAAGTCTGTGCCTAAATAATGTATTTGGCGTTATTAACGTTCTGTGAGTCAGGAAATGGATTTTTATGATTCATTTTTGCAGCGTATTTTCCGAATTTTGGCAAGAGAAGAAAGCAGATATCACCAGTGTGTTTTTGTATCTGAGAACACATCGGAGATAAGAGGAAATTAATTTGGCCCTGTTTTTTGGTTCTTTTTTTTCGTGAGGCCTCATTTCACTGTTCAAAAATAATAGATGTATGCAAATCAGGTTGATTTGTTGTGCTAATAAGGACATTGTTTTACTGTGGAGCTTTCTGTGAATGTGAGCCTGTCGATTTGTATTTGAAAAGATTATCGTACAATTAGATATTACTTGCTTTAGTGATAATGTGTCATAATCTGGTTATAAAAATGAATGTGACACAGAACACAGTTGGGATATTGTCAGTTTATGATGATAATAATTGATTAATATGAAAGATTTACAATGACTGAAATGGTTGTTTGCACCTGTATTTATATATTTGTAGTCCCCTTTTAATGGATTTATATTGAGTTTAAATTGTCTTTTTCTGTACAAAGTAAAATAGTTCCCTGTATAAGTGTAATAAGTCCTATAAACCCATGTGGGATGGTCTAAAAGTTGACAAACCCTTCTCTTCTTTGTATTTATGAAAACTGTATTTGAAACTTTTCTCCCATTTCTCCCATTTCTCCCATTTCTCCCCAGGTCCTTTATGCAGCATATTAGTCGAGCGTTTTGGTTGCCGGGCAACAGTGATGGTGGGTGGGCTCTTAAGTGGACTGGGCATGGCCTTTTCAGCCCTGGCCAGGACCATCACTGATATTTACATCACTAGCGGCATCACAGGTGAGGGGCTGCACACACCCACAAACCCACTCTTCCACCAACATAAAGGCTCATCAGACTCTCTCTCTTCTCCTCTGCAGGACTGGGATTCTGCCTTTCCTTCCAGCCCTCAGTGACTATTATGGGTCAGTACTTTGAGCGACGCCGTGTCTTTGCTAATGCCCTGTCATCCACTGGCACAGCTGTGGGTCTGAGCAGTTTACCCCTGATTTCCAATGCCCTGCTCAGTCAGTTTGGCTGGCGTGGCAGCTTCCTGATTCTGGGTGGGGTGCTGCTGAACTGCTGTGTGTGTGGGGCAGTGATGAGGCCCATTGCATCAGGACCAAACAAACCCAGACACTCTCAGGTTTCAGATAAACCAAACAACTTATCTCTGCAGCAGGAGACAAAAGGGCTAAAAGACAGCGTAAAGACTGCTCTTTGTGGCTTTATAGCATTCCTACACAGACATATGGCTTTTGACCTGCTGGTGAGTAATGCTCGTTACTGTGCCTATGCAGTGGGCGTGACCTGGATGACACTGGGTTGTGTGGTGCCTCTGGTCTATCTGGTGCCTTATGCTACTCATCATAACATTGAGATAGACTGTGCCGCCTTCCTGATGTTCATCCTGGGCTTGGTGAACATCACAGTGCGACCTACGGCTGCCCTTGTCTTGGGCATGCCACGCTTCAGAGGCAGCAGCAGTTTTGTGTATGTGTTTGCTGGAGCTGTGCTCGTGAACGGGCTGAGTAACTGCATCTGTGGGGCATCGGCCTCCTTCGAAGCTCTCCTGGTGTATGTGGTGATCTTTGGTCTGTCCATGAGCGTGGCCGGCTCACTGCTCTATACCGTGCTGATGGACACGGTGGAGATGAGCCGCTTCCCCTCAGCCCTCGGACTTCTCTGTATGCTGGAAAGTGGAACGCACCTAATTGGTCCACCCCTAGCAGGTACAAACACATACTCATACACACTCATACACATGTGGGTTATGCTGTTTGTTAG